CGCGTGTTTGGATCAGGCCATCCAAACACGGAAACCATAAAGTAATTGTATATTACTAAATCTAAGGAATGAATTTTTTCTGTGTTGGTGTAATGTACTCAGGTGAACTGTGATGCTTGTGATGTTACTCTGAGTGTATATCCACACCGGACAAGCTTGAAAAATATGCCTGGCCACGATGGGAATCGAACCTACGACCCATGGAATACCAGCCCAAAGCTCTGCCAACTGAGCTACGCAGTCAGGTCGGTTCGAACATGCGATATTTCGGAACTGAGTTTAGTTTCTTCGATATCGATGTAATCTAGTAATAATGAATTTTTGGGCTGATATTCCAGGCGTCGTAGGTTCGATTCCCACCATGGCCAGGCATATTATTCAAGCTTGCCCGGTGTGGATATACACTCAGAGTAACATCACCAGCATCAAATCTAAGGAACGTTTCCTCAGAATCTAAGGAATTCAGACAAGCGCGCGAGCAAATGTAAGGTTAGCGCACTGTGTCAAATGTCGCCAGGGCTGTAAATACTCGTTACAATTGTAATGAGTTACTGTGTACTCGTCACATTTGAAGTAATTTTAACCTGTACTTAATTACGTTTTTAGAAATGTAACGAAAAACGTAATTAATTACAAAAGCAAGGAACGTGTTCCTTTTCCAAGGAGCAAATTGAAAATTCCTTTTCTTATCATGTTAAAAATAAGAAATAAAAAAATACAACGTTACGACAAAAATTAAGAAAAATGGCTGAAATAATCTTCAACGAGATCACATGACATGATAGCCTACATGAAGTACTATTTATTGCGAAAGTGGAACTACAATTTGTTCCGAGGCTCAGAGCGCCAAATATTGGCAAATAAAGTTTTAAGTTTACATGCTTCGATTTGCATGTCAAATGTTTTAATATATTGAAATATCATCTTGATCAATTCTTGCAAATTTCATAGTTTATACCGTTTTTATTTACAACTTCTGTTTAAGATACTGTGTTATAATATATATAGCAACAATTTGCCGGTAAAGGAATTTGTAATTGATTCCTTTTTTCAGAAGTATAATTTTTTCATTGTACTTAATTACATTTTAGAACAAGTAATTGTAATCAGGAATTTATTACATTTTAAAGCAAGTAATTAATGTAATTGGAATTAAATCCTTTTTTAGTGGTAATTTTGCCGCCCTGAATGTCGCACAAAAGAACATCTTGCCTAGTCTAGGTCGATCTGTCCGTAGCTGGACATCGAGCTGCGAGATCCCTCCACTTGTCCGGGTGCTGGCAACCTCGTACCCAGGCTCTTTCCACTAGGAGCGTAGTGGAAAGAACCTGGTTACGAGGTTGGGATTCTAGGCCACTGTCGCTGCCTTTTCTGCTTTTCCCAGGTCATTTGTGTGTTTCTGTTTCAGGTCGACCACAATTGTTTCTCTCCTTGTGGGGACTTTGGGGGGAGTAACACCCTTCCATTGATCACGGACTCGGCAATGTCTCCTTGACTCTGCAAATTGTTTCGTAGTCAGTGAAAGTAATAGCTATAGCAAAAAGTAATAGCTATAGCAAAAATTTTCCTAAATTTACAAAAATTACGGAAAAAGTTAACGAAGTACGATACATTAATGGAAAAGTTTGCATGTAAAAAATGACATGCAGGCGGAAAAAATTTCGCCTCATTCTTGCAACAATTTTGGGGAAATTTCATTTTGAATTACCGACCGAAATGTAAAATCAGTACGATAAATTCGCGCAATAACTTATTGAGATAGATGAACCTAAACCTAATCTAACCCAAACTCTAACCCTTAACTCTAATATAATCTTAATCTAACCCTAATCTAATCTTAATCTGAAACTAATCTGAACTTCGTAATCTTTTATTTTAATAATCTTTTTTTTTAATTTCCACTCAAATTTTTAAGCTGCAAATTTTAGAGTTCGACAACTGTCTCTCTTAAAAATTCTGGAAGTGCGACCAGGATATCGATCGACATTGTGTGCTTTTGAAGAACAAAATATCAATTAGCAAATTATTGGTTGTAAGTGTGGCATTTTTGCCAAAATATTTCCAGTTAACCCTACGCATATATATGTCTGCTTGCTTTAGATAGAGCAAAAATTATAATCAGAATGTTTCCATATAGGCATTGTTTCCGCCCCGGATCGAACTGGGGATCTTGCGCCTGTTAGGCGCACGTGATGACCACTTCACTACGGAAACCTGCATGCCGAAAGATGTTAGACGATGGCTAATTGATTGTCAGATGTGGAAGTTTTACTAGCAAGAAAAGTACATCATAGACCATGCAAAATCGGCGTGCCGTTCTATTAAATTCACAAATTAATTAGACGTTAATATGCTACAAAATTTCTTCGTGGTGTAGTTTGCAGCAGCACATTGACAATCAATCTCGTTTTTTCCCCAATTAATCAATCTTGAGCTGAATCGGGGGCAACAGCTGTCATATATTCTCACCGGGAGTTTTCTCTTACAATACCAGTTAGTCATCCATATACACCACGTGATTGTCAGCCAGTATAAAAGTAGCACAAAATCGGTATTTTTTAGCATTTGCAGATTTGGTTACGTCGAGCATGATGTGAATTAATCATCCTCCTCAACCGGCTGCACTTGGAATAAGGTATCTGTTTGTTGTCTACCGAATTTAAGTGGGTCGTCCCTGTCCCCGCGAGTTTCGAGCCTACTAAATTTTCTTTGGCATCACGTACAATTTGTTACAACGGCATTTATACTACACATCGCCTTGCGACCACTGCAAATTTTGCAAGCAGAAAATGCTCTATACTGATAGTCTAATTGTTAACGTTCATGCGGGACTGCTCATGGCATACCTGCATGCATGTTTTCCTATTTTCCACACATTTTCTTAGGTACAGGTTTTGAAGTCATACCTGTTGTATTACTTGTCGAGCTCACTGCAGGCACCTAATTGTATTTTGCTCGTTCGTTTCAATCGTTTGTATTTAAACGGATCCGTATTAATACGGAATTATAGCGAGTTCAAATGCACCAAAGGCTAACGTTGTCCATGGCATATATTTTGTTCCATTCTCGCGGGGTTTCAGCGTTTCCTAATGTGCGGTCTGGCGAGGTGGGTACAGTAATCAATACCCTACACATGTCTACGACGTGTCTTGTAGATGCGTTCTGGAAACGTGTACTCCGGAGTGTGACTGGGCATATGCAATGTGCCGTTTAAATGTATTAGCTTAAGCTTTTGGCTCCCGCAGAGTACGCGTGTTGTCTATTCTCATGTGTTAAGTGAATAGTTGTTTTGGATGCCACACCGTAGCGCGTTAGTAACTGCTTTTGCTCACAATCCTCCAAAGACTAAGCTTACAATGTGCATGCTTTGTTTTCCTTTTGCCGACTTGTGTTCTATTTTCCTCTCGGTTGTGCATGTTCTGTCCTCTATCTCGTGGTTTTCGTCGTTAGTTTGCTTTATTTTCTAACTGTTACATTCGTTTAGAGTCTTTCTGCATGTATGCATTCTTTCATGGTCATTAGGTTTTTCTTCCATGCATGCATGCTTTGTTTGCCTCTATATTTACTGCCGGGGTATCTTTAAGGTTTTCAACATTCCCGAATATTTTAACTGGCGTGGGTTGTATTTACTCGTTCTTCGTTTTTGAAACGACGCCGTTACTTATATCACGGCCACTTTTCGAGATTTTTAACCCTCGTTTCGTTGGTTTTTGGCTGGTAATCTTTTTCAGACTCCGCCTCATTATTTGTCAACTCGGTTGATTAAAAGCGTTTTCCTAATGTGCGGTCTGGCGAGGTGGGTACACTATTCAAAACCCTACGCATGTCTACGACGTGTTCTCGTATTCAGGCGCGTGTTGGAGACGTATAATTTTCCAAAGTTTGACTGCTTTCGTACGTTTATGTGTTATCTGCGTTTTACCTTTGATTCCGTCGCAATGCCGTTTGTGCGCAATTGTTTGTGGAAGGCAGATATTATACATTTGGCCGTGATATTCGTAGTTTTTGCTCTGGGCCCATGTATATATATATATATATATATATATATATATATATATATATATATATATATATATATATATATATATATATATATATATATCCTAAAATTAATTATTGCTACTAAAGTTTCACGCCTTATTCAAGACGATCTTCAGGCAATTAATTCAGTGTATGTTTGATTCGTCAACATCAACGGTTGGTCGCTGACGCGGAGGCATGTCTTGAGGCATGTCTCTGGGCCCATGTATATATGTATATATATCATCGCCAGAAATTTGAGACGTTGCAACTGAGCATGCTCGTAGCTCAGTAAATAAATATGGCTGGCATGCTACTCATTTTATATAGGGAAAGCGAATTTTTCGAAACTTGAGCGTCTTAAATTACAAACAAACGGTTTGCCAACGTATGAGCGGTACAAAAAAATCATCGGTAATCAAACGTAGTAAAAAGCAAAGCCATTACATACCGTTAAGTGCGTACATTTTTATTCGGATTCTGTGTCGACTTGAATGCTAATATTTATATAGTTCTAGTCCCAAATCGCCCCAAGATGAACCCTTTATTCCGAATTGTCATCGTCGCCTTTCTTCATGTCATATTTGCCAACCTCCTGTCGTAAACAACAAATGATGAAGTATTTCTCGTTAAATTTACAAGGTGATATAAATTTTCTAACACCGTGCATTTTAGCAGTAAAAAACATGAAAATCCATGGTTTGTAATAAACAAAATACGTACCAAACGCCCGTAAATATTGTTAAACTGACATTGATTTTTTGCAAAAGATCGGCCATGTCTAGTATCAACAAGAAGCTTAGAGACCAAGCTTTCTTTACAGTGAGGTTAAATGCGGATAAAGGTTGTTAATTGTGGGCAAAATGCGTCATTTAACCACATTTAACCTCTGCTAAAGCCATTTACCACCCATATCCAGTCGTTCGCTTCGCGCCTTGCAGCGCCAAAATTTGAACATGAATATGCAGTTATGCAAATAAATGTCTGAACAGTCTGACATTCTAGATAAATTCGATTTAAATAAATTTGTGAAAATAATTTCACTTTCCTCTGACTTATGTCTTAGCTTTGCAAAAAAAGATTCTGTGAACACCCATGATATAGCGCTTACGATTGACATCTCGAATGAGCATTTACGAAGTTGGTACGATTTAACACAAAATGGATCATTGAGCAAGTATTCGTTTGTAGAAATCCTAAATGCGTTTATATCAAAGCATGGAGTTCAACTGCACGAAAGCGAAAGGATTAATAACATACTTAGAAAAAGATGTGGGGATGCAAAAAATAAATGTCGATCGCTTAATGGACGTTTAAGGACTGAGTATCTTGCTAAAGTTAAGCATATTACTGTTTTCAAACATGAAGTAATTAATGCAGCTGAGACTCAACAGCTACTAACAGAAAACAACGAATATGTCAAATCATTATCAGAAGAAAATCGAAAACTAAAAGAAAGATGTGAAGAGCTGTGGGCAGCAATTGAAGATTTAAAATTTAGCAAGACAGCAACTGAACAAAAACTGGACAGTAAACAGGAAGACTATGAGTTAGTTTTCGAGCAAAATAAGGAACTGTCGGGTTATCTTGATAAAGCTAGATTTTCTGTTGAGTTTAAAAATTCAGGGAAAGAAATCTTAGAGGTTGGGAGAAGGCAACAAAATCGGAAACTGTTGGAGCTTAAAACATCAGTAGAGAAAAGCTTGTGGTTTGCAGAAACATTCGGACTATCATTAAAATCAGTGTCATTCACTGACAAATCTGGGTCAGACCATTCCTTGACATACTGCAACGTGCCACAAAGAAAGAGCTATAAGGACTTCTCGGAAGAAGAAAAGACCACGGTTAAAGAAATCTTATTAATTGTTGACAGGTTCTGCATAGGGGAAGGTGCTTACCACGAATTAACTATGATACCCGCTGGCATGGCATTACCACGTTCCTACCTAATCAAACAATGCAAAGAATCATTGAATTCGATTACCCACATAGAACACACACCAGGAGAGGCTGAAGGGGCCCAACTTAACTTCTACGATGCCCTTAGTAATGAGATCAAGAAACATGTAAGAAAATGTCTAAAAATTATTATAATTATTATAATATACTGAATATAATATCTCTATAGTATGTTTTGTAATTGTTAGACTTTCTCTGTTATTTTACTATTCGTAAAATTCTGGTAACAAACTATAGGTCTATATATTAAAAATGAGTAAAAATATCAGCTTTTACTACCTTCATCATTAAAAACAGTAGCAAATATAGTCATTGTCTATCTATTTTTCAGATGCAAAAGTGTACTCTTGATGGCCTGGATATCCCAGTGAAATACAACATTAAATTTAGCGGGGATGGGGCTAAAATGACCCGATTAACCGGGTTTATTATAATTTCATTTTCAATTTTGAATGATGGGGGAACTGCAATGGCATCTAAAGGTAAGTTATTTCTTTCCTATATAATACATGTGATACTATGCATGTATACTATGTATGTATGTATGGTATGTATGCATGTGTGGTATGTATGTGTGTATGTGTGTATGTATGTAAGTGCGTACATATACAGACCGCATGTCTTGTTTTTTTTTCTGGCCTTCTAGGGAATCATACAGTTGCTGTGATAAAAGGACAGGAATCTTATGAGATTCTTAAATCTTCTTGTGCAAGGATCTTTAGTGATGTTAACAAGATAGTTGAGGAGGGATTCATTAAAGTCAATGAAAATCAAGTACCTGTGGATATTTTCCTTGGCTCAGATTACAAGGTGCATACGGCATTTCCTCTATTTAGGCCCCAGCCTCTTTTTAGCCCGCATTCTGATAAGCCCCAACCCAAAAGCTAGCACGTAAATTAGCCCCCACCCTCTACTTAGCTCCTACCCTCTATGTAGAATTAGCTATTTTACAAATAAAAATTGATATAGTGGAATATGTTATGTAATTTACCATGTTCAAGGAACCAACTTTGGATGAAAATTTATTAAGCCCCTACCCTCTATTTGCCCCCCCCCCCTTCCAATAAGCCCCCACTCAAAAGGTGGCAAAAGAAATGAACACCCAGGGGGCTGAATAGAGGAAATACGGTAGTTATTATTTTTATGGACAAACTTCACTCACATTTCTGTTACATATTAAATTTATTAAAATAGTCAAGCATCTTGATGAGTGACCCCTCTTTATTGTTCTGTTCTGGGTAATCTAAATGTTTTACCCAGCTGGCCTATTTTCTTGTACCATGCTATGCTCTGCCAGGTGATATTTTTCTTACACCGGATATTAAATTAGAGCTGAAACCTCACATCTTAATGGGCAATGTTTAATTTTAAATTGGAACCATTTAAGGTGTTGTAAAGCTGGAAAAAATAAACTTGTAAGCATGGGATGCCAGTAGAATGTTTGTTTTGTATACTAATCTTCAATGATTTGTTTAAATAAATAGTTTCTTCTGTTGTTGTTGGGAATGAAGGGAGCATGCTCCGACCATGCTTGTATCTGGTGCAAAATCCACAGATTATTAAGGTATAAATATATGCAAAATTGGTGATGCATATATAGTGTATGGTTTAGGCCCCGTTTACACTATACCGGATTACTATCGTAGCGGGTACAATTTAACAGCTAGTGAAGTTCTGATGAAATTTTAAACGACAGTGACACAAAGAGACGTACAAAAACTACCAAATGAGTAAACCTTTGTTGGTAAACATTGCTCGTAAACAGCAAACTAAGATGTCGTGACAAGCGAATCCGGTATAGTGTAAACGGAGCCTTAATCTACAGTGTACACGACTATATAAAATAAACAATCTAACCTTTTCCTCCTTTGACTTTCAAGATACGATATGACAAAGTCACAAGATTTTTATTTGATTGGTGATATTAAAAGAACACTGGAGGATATTAAAGCATGCTGCCTGAAGAAACAGTTTTCCTGTGAACGCCCTCCACTTCTTAATATTCCCGTGGAGAATATCGTCCTCGATGAACTCCATTTGATGTTGCGAGTTACAGGTAATTTACTGTACGAGACATATTTGTCGCCCAAGCCGGAAAGAATGTGGCAGTGCAAGCTAATAATTAGCTTAATGTATAATTAATTTTGAATAATGTGTAATTATTATTTAATCTTCTTCAGATAAGCTCATTGATAATTTAGTGAAGGAAGCACTACAAAGAGATTTCAAGCAAAATTTGAACAAGGCTCCTCGTGATCGTCGGTCGTATCATCTTGACAATCTTATTCAAGCCATTTCAAGTTGTGGTGTGTCATTTTCCGTATGGGAAAAGAGAAACGCTGATGGAAAGGGTAGCGGCACATTCGACTTCACTAGTTTAATGGGTAATGACAAAAAGATTTTGCTTGAAAAGCTTCCTCAAAAGTTGGAAGGTGTTATCAGTCCAGCTACAAGTGCTACTGTGATCAAGATATGGGAGGTTTATATGATTTTGTAATTTTATAAACTCTTAAAAGATATCATTCTTGCTATGTCACTGATAGCAAATAATTCCTTTTTGATAGAATTTCAATGACATATATCAGAACTTCATACTGAAGGAAGACATATCAGAATCAGAAGTAAATTTATATTTTACAAAGGTACAAAATTATAGAAAAAAGGCATGCAGTTTTAGCAAAATAACAAGAAAATATTTCAGGCTTGGGTCATCACTCATGGGGTTGCTTTTATAGGGGGGTGGGCCAGTTTGCAAATTTTTTGGGAGGTGGGGGGGGTGCAAAATATTTTTAGTGTGGTGCAAGCAATTTAGGAGGGCTGCAAAAATTTTTGGGGGATGTCCAACCCCCTGCACCACTCCAGAAAATCTGCCTATGGTAACCAGCAATGTGCACCTGCCCTACACATCCAATTTTTTCAGTATAAATATTTCACTCCAATCAATGCCAGTGACTCTAGTTGTATTTCTTTTTTTTGCCATTAACAATTAGGCTACAGCCTGGGTAACATTATTTTTATCACTTGGTGGACAGCTGGAGGGGTATGGAAAACAATGCATCACACCCTATATTCATGCAATGGTCTATCATGTGCCTCAGTTTATGAAGTTGCACAAGGGAATACGAAACTTTTCAGGGCAAGGTGCTGTAAATGAATTTGTTTTATATACAGTGTAGATACAGTACATGTATTATAGACATTACCAGACATTACTCAAACACTTGCCACAAATGTAAAATTTTTACTACATGATGTAGATTGATTGATTGGTGTTTATACAAACTTTAGGTGTTGAAAAACTGAATGACAATTGCAGGAGAATTCATTTAGAAAAATCCAACAAATGGGATGCTGCGAAGGACGTTTTGCTTGCTGAAGAAAGGCTAAAAAATTTAAGCCACCTGCAGAGAACACCAAGGCCATATAAAAAAAAGGCAGATGAATACTGGTCTACGGGAATTAAGGAAAGTCGGAGCAAGCGGCCAAGATTACGTGACCAAGTACAGCCTAGCGAAGCAGAGATGGACGAAGAAGATATGTCCACACTTACTGCTAACGAACTTCGAAAGCGCCTAAAAGATATGGGCATCAAAACTGCAGCACGAAATATCGACCGACTTCTAGATATGTACCATATAGCTATGCAGTGATCATTATAAAATCCTGTTCATGTTATTTAGAACAAATACATGTACTTGAAATATGTATGTGTACATTTATGTTTTGGAACTGTTTAAAATTACATTGTTCACGCTAATTTAATCAGTGTTTTCAAACACAACTTTGGACAAACCTGGCAAGAAAAGTACAGTTATTGTATATGAATAATACATAGTTATGTGTATTATGTACAAGCCTAGTTTTCCAGAACTGGAAACAAATATGTTAAATATAATTTGAACGTTCTGTATTAAAAATGCAACCTATTGTCAGTTTTATTTATTTACAAAATAATGTGTATATACTATTAACACTATACACTATCCATGTTGCAAAATCGTTTTACAATCGATAATACAATTTTTTCTATAGGATATTTTGGTGCCTTCTTTAGTTCTCCATTTACAATATTGTGAACCTAGAGGGACTCCAAGAAACAATCGGCTTTGCCTTGATAGGGAAATCAACGCATATGCCTTCACCATGCTGGTTGAGAACATAATACCAATCATGTGGCAAGCCTTTGAAACGGTCAAAATGTTCTTTTTCATACAACATGTGGCCCTTATGGTCAGATTTTTTGCCCTTGTTTAATGTGATGTACCTCCAGACATCTAATGGCATGTTCACATACACTGGGCTAACAGATTTTGACTTGAGACTTGTCTGGACAACATTCATAAAATCTCGACATGCTTGTTCAAATTTTGGCCCATCGGGTTTGAGTGGTTGTTCATAGCTCCTGTCAATGAAGAGGTCTTATTATTGCTTGCAGTTTTGTCATAATGTTATATGTCGCTGCCGCTTATATGGTATTTACTTGATAAAATTATATTTGCAATAAAGTATTTGGTTATATGGTTATTAAACCCAGGACTGTCCGTACCTCAAAAGAGCAATGCTCAAATTTTCAGATGGCTCCCAGGAACAGCTGTGGTATGGCCATCCTTGCCATTTTATAAGATATTCATCGCCCTCAAAAAAGAAAACTTCGCAATGCATAAGCTCGAATTGGGAATAAATTTGACTAAAAGCAGTTTTGATACTTACATACGGCTTTTTTCTTCGCGTGATAACTCTTTCGGCAGCATAAAATTTCGAATCTCGCCTTTTCGGCTTACTATTGTACAATACAACAGATGATAAAGAGTTCATCTGCACGTAGTCGACATCGATTTTGCATTTTCTACGGCTTTCTCTCTTACTGCTGGCGGCCATCTTGACCATTCACTTTAAATAACGATTACTCGAAGTTTTCCGCGCGTCAATTACCGCTGTCGGTGGCGACCTGCGGCGCATGTCTCAAATTTCTGGCGATGGATTGTTTGTGGTACTATTTACTTTAGAGTTTTCCCACGCAATTACGTATTTGGTGTAATACACATGTTCCGCTAAAGCTGATTTTCCCTTGTCAAAAGTTGAAACAGCCTTCTGATGTTCTTTTAGCCGTGTACCAAACTGGCGTTTAAACTGCCTAGGGGTGCACCGGAACCAGTTTTTTAAGTTCCGGCCGGAACCGGATCCGACCGAAACTGGAAAAAGTTCCGGCCGGAACCGGAACTAATTTATTAAGCCATATATAGTCATATGTTACTTTGTCCGCTGCCAGACAGGCAGACACGTCAAGTCATAAAGGAGAGAGCTCGCAAATGTTAGAATAAAAAGATTGACAAGCGTTAAACGTCATAATGAAGTGTTAGTAGTGTACATTTCCCTTGCGTAGTCCAAATTTCTTCCTACTGTGACCTTTTGTTAGACACAAAAACGTTTGATATTCTATCTCTCTGAGAACAACAGAGTTCCGGTTCCGGCCATGCTTTTTTTACTAGTTCCGGCCGGAACCGGAACTCTAAAAAATCGGGGTTCCGGCCGGAACTAACCGGCCGGAACCGAGTTCCGGTGCACCCCTAAAACTGACCCAAATACTCTTCCTCGCAGTCACCGCATGGTATAGAATATGCTTTGAATAGGGATGACGGTGCCTATTTGCCAGAGGAATACATGCATCTCATTGGCAGGTGACGTCATCCCTTAGGTATTCAAGAAGACACGATTGTAACTTTAGATCACCCCTGATGAAACACTAGACTGGAGTGTCGAAACGTTGGGTCTTGATTACAATTCGACTGGGCTTTGTAATTATTTATTTAAGCCATTGTTATTTCATGGTTAATTTATTTCAA